GAATTAACAGATGGTTGTGAGCCATCATGTGGATGCTGGGAATTGAACCCAAATCCTCTAGAGAACAGCCAGTGCTCTTAACTACTGAGCTAGCTCTCTGACCCCATCAGCCCTGGTTTTTTTTGTTTTTTTTTTGTTTTTTTTTTTGAGATAGAGTCTCTTACTGGCTCATAGCTCACCAAGAAAGCAAGACTGGCTGGCCAGCAAGGCCCAGCTATCTGCCCATCTCTATCCCCAGAGCTGGGTTTAAAGTGGGCATTGCCACAGCCAGCTTTTTGTTTTGATTTTGTTTTTCAAGACAGGGTTTCTCTGTGTAGCCCTGGCTGTCCTGGAACTTAACTCAGTACACCAGGCTGGCCTTGAACTCAGAAATTGAGTCCTCACACTTATATGGCAAGCACTCTGTTGGCTGAGCCGTTACCTGAGTCCTTTTCCCATATTCTAGGTATTTTGGTTACTCAGTATGCCTGAGTAACGTGTAGAAAAGCATTTAAGAGCAGGGCTGGTACTCAGGTCCTCATACTGCAAGCATTTCGCTGGACCTGTCACATGAGAGCCTTATTCCCATGGCCTACGTGTTTGAATACATGCTCAGTCATTCATCTTGAACATAAAATAAAATTGGATTCTGTAATAAGAGGTGTATGTCTCTGAATCCTAGGGCATGTTTCAGGAAATGAACGTGAGATGTGTTGGCTGTCCCTGGTCATGAACTGCTGAATCATGTCACCCTGAGCCAGGCTCACTAGGATTTTAACACAGTGAATATGGATGCATTCTTGGACAAGTAATGTCTTGATGGTTTGGTTGTGAGCCTACCCTTTGACATTGGAAGTATCTCTAGCCCTGGACAAGCAGTCTTGAAAGCTAATTAAGTGACTGATACAGCTGAGACAGACAGCTTCCCCTGCCCACAGACCATGGCTCTTTTGGGCCTTGAATAATTCTTTTGAGGGTCTTTTGAAATACATGGGCTTTCCCCCTAGAATATGTAAGTATGCATATGATACAGTTATACATTTAATCTTAGGCTTGGAAGGAGTCTTACATATATATATAAGGATGAATTAGCTCTAACTAATAACAACAACAAATGTTGACATTTCAGAGCAGTGGTGGGGGTAGGGGTGGGATGTCTCTGGGACTCAGGAATTCAGTAGTATTTCAGGCTTGAAGGCTCCCAGAAGCCACAGCCCAGATCTTCTCTGGGCCAGCTGGCATGGGAAAGATTGACTAGGGCTGGAAGGTCCACTCTTGGTAACAGGTTAGTGTTGGTTGGTGGCACCAAGCCTCAGGTGGCCCCCATCTGGCTGCTTTGATGTCCTCACATAGACGATGTGGTCAGGGAAAGCAGGCAAATTCACCCTCAGAAGCCAAGCGCATGGTTTCTGCATTTCCTATGTCCCCACAGGTCAGCCAAACTCAGCATGTTAAGCAAAGTATGGAGCCCCTAGAGCAGGGCCTTTGTGCTTGCCTTGGGTGCAGCATGAACCTGGAAAGCATCCTAACCCACAATGGGGGTGTTCTTTTTCTCCTCCTCTTCTTAATTTTTTTTTAAGGTAGTCTCACTGTATAGCCCTGACTGGCCTGGAACTAGCTGTGTAGGTCAGGCTGGCCTCAAACACATGAAGTTTCTCCTGTTTCTGCCTCTGCCTCCCAAGAGTGCTGGGATTGAAGGTGCATATCACCATGCTTGGCCATCGCTGAAGGTTTCTGTGTAGGGTTTTGTTACATGGGCATGCCTCATTGAATCAGTGGTTATTGGTGATTAGACTTAGTCTCCACCCCCTTTCCTGTTCCTATAGATCTGAGTTGGAGCTGAAATTTCCAACCTGCAATTCATGACCAACTTTGGAAACTTTAAGGGGCCATCTTGAATCATTTTATTAGCACAAATTCTGATGTGATTGGAAGAGATTCTCAGGGTACAGAAGCCTCTTGTCATTAGTATTGCAAAGAAGTTAGGAGCTCGGGTCTTAGGGCTTAGACCAAGTGTCTATGTGAGTGAAACATATGCATATGTATATATCATATGTATATATGCATGTGTATATGCATGCATACATGTATTGCATGCAAATGCTTTTTATACTCTACTAGTAGCTATGGAAGAAGTTTTATTCAGCAGTCAGGCATCATTTGTATTTTGGAGTAAAGCTTTGGTTCACACGCCTTGCAGAGGAGTGCAGTAAAAAAAGAGAAATAAAATTACTTGCCCCGTGGCCCAGTTTTTCTTTTCTAGTCCTTTCTACAGATGAGACTGGGTACTGGGTCTTTTCTCACTGCAGAAGGTGCATTTGCCTATTACAGAGCAACCTGAGGGTACAGAATGTCTGAAGTTATAATTATTATTTTTTAAAGAAACAGTCCTCATGGGGCGGAGCCTACTGTTGTAGACTAAGGGAGGTGGTTGGGCAGCAGCCTTGGGCAAAGTTGGGGACCTGATCTGTTTGAAGGCAGCAGAGATTAGCATCTCTTAATCAGACTTCTCGGGACACTGAAGAGTTTGATGTGAAAGGTCTATTGAAAAGAAAAGTCACTTTATTTCTGTGTTAAGCTGCACTCCCTGTTGAGTATAGTGGTACCTGTCTGGAATCCCAGCATTTGAGAGGTTGAGCCAGGAGAGTTGTCACAGGTTCAAAACTAACACTTTGTCTGGAAAACAAAACAAACAAAGACCCCACTTTCTAAGAGCAGCCCTGTTTTTCAGGGTTGCAGAGCTGTTTGTAGGTTGGGAGGGAAATGACAGATAGTTAGTCAACAGGTACGGCTGGCTGCGGCTAAGAACAGACAGATGCTTTATTTCTCAGGAGTCGTAATCTGCTTCTGGTCTGCATGAGTTGCTTTGACCCAGCTGCCCTGGTCATTCAAACCATTTAACACTGTTTCCCTTTGTGTGTGCGTGCGTGTGTGTGCATGGTGTAGTATAGAATCCATGCTTGTGTAAGATCTGTGAGCCGAACGCACTCTGCTTAAGCTCATTATCAAACTGCATCAGATGGGGTTCAGCTGTTTTCTTTAGGTAAGAGGAGAATGGCAGTGTGTAAAAGCCTCAAAACTGGGAGCTTAAAACTGTTGAGAGCTTTCAGTTAGATATGTCCATTCATTTGGGGACCTGTCTGGTCCTCTACAAAAAGAGACATCATAAGGCTGACAGTTTTCTGTCTCTCTCTGTGTCTCTCTCTGTGTCTCTTTCTCTGTTTCTCTGTCTCTGTCTCTGTCTCTGTCTCTCTCTCTGTGTGTGTGTGTGTGTGTAGGAGTGGAGGGATCGGTGGGCTTTGGGTTGTGGAGTGGTGTGTGCATGCACAGATGTACAAGGACCTGTGTATGGGGGGAGGAGTCATTGATGAGTATCTTCCTTAGTCACTTTTTGACATTACTGTTTGAGATAAGGTCTGTCATTGAGCCTGGAGCACTCCTTGCTCTGCCCCTCCCCCAGAAGTTGGCTAAACAGCTGGTCAGCAAGCCCTAGGGCAACTTCCTATTGCTACCTTCCTAGTGCTGAGATTCCTGGTGTGGGTCACTGTGCCTAACCAGTGGGTGCTGGGGACTTACTCTTGCGTGGTAAGAATAAATACTGACTAAGCTCTCTCCTCAACCCCTCCCTGCCTTTCATAAAACAAACATAAACAATTTATTTTTACTGTTCTCATTTTTCTGCTTCTGCTGAAACCAGGATGGAGTTCCCTGTCAGCCTTTGAAACAGTTCTGTACAGGTGTACGTGCACAGGTCCTCGCCCTGCACAGCTGCCCTTTGCAAGGCTGTGGGCCTGCAGATGAGGCCAGCTTGCTCTGAGGCCCGAGGGCCCTCTGGGTTGGACTGAGCTGCGTCTTGCTAGGATTGGCACTATCCCACTTTTAGCTGCTGAGTCTGCAGGAGATAAGTTTCTACTTGGTGAAAGGAAAGGTTTCACAGGAGTGGGCTGCAGCTGGGATAGGTGTGAGCAGCCAAGATGTGGCACTCCCAGGAGGCTGCTGCAGTGCCCTGAGCAGTTACTGACCAGGATATGTCTCCAGAGTCAGACCTGTTGGCTGTCTTAGCCAGTTTGAGACTTGGCATCTTTTTATTGCGTACTGATTGTGTCTTAGTCCCTGAGTCAGGGCCTTTATAGATATCTTATTCAATCTTTTCCATCTTGCACATGGGGAAGCTGCGGCTCATAGTCCCTGTCACTTACCTAGAATTTCAGCTGGTAAATGACAAAGCCAACATTGCTATGTTGTCTTCTCTGAAGTCCTTTCTGTAAGATGAGGCCAAGGTCTGGAGACAGAACTGTATGTCCAAGATGATGTGGCCGGCTCTAAGCTGAGCTGTGCTAACTTCTGAGGCCGAGTCTCAGATGCTCTTTCTGCCACGTATGGCTATCCCTAGCATCTGCCACACCCAGCTGCTGCCCAGGGAGCAGAGAAATGTCTCGCCCATGTTTGAGTGGCTTAGGGGTAATCAGTGCTGTGTTGATTACTAAATCTGTTTTCTATTGCTGTAACAAAGTACCTAAAGCAGAGTGTTTTATTTTTAAAAAGAGTTGTTTTTTAGCCCATGGCCAAAGGCCAAAGACTGTTGGTTGGTCCTTGTGTTCTGCTTCTGGCGAGGGCCCCCTAGACTGTGTCACAAGAAGGCAGATGGTATCCTGGCAGGAAAAGGTGCCATCTTATGGTGAGGCAGGGATGGAGTAGGAGTATTTGGATATATATATATATATATATGTATATATATATATATATGTTTTTTCACAATAATAACACACCTTTGTGGAAGCTAACTCATCCCGGCTACTAGCATTGACGCCTTCCAGTGTTCCCAGTGACCTCTTGACCTTGCCCTAGGCTCCACCTCTTAAAGGTTCCGTCCCTCTTACCTTACCTCACTCCTCCAAGGCCTCAGCTTCCCGCATATGAACCCTTGTGACGCACACTTAGACCTTGCTCAAAGAAGCATTGCAAATGACATGGGATGAGAAACTTGAATCTCCATATATAATTTTTGCCCTTGCAAGAGGATGCCGTGTAAGGGACATGAGGAGGGTAAGCAGAGGGAGAGGTGACCTTGGAAAGCTGTGTCATACCAGAAGGCAGGGGCTTGGTGGGCCAGTCAGAGCCAAGAGCCCAAGGGCACCGGCCTTGTTTCAGATCTTCCTGCGCACTGTCCCTCTCTGCTTTGTCAACTGGTAGGACTCTGCGTGCCTTCAGACTCCCGTTCCTTCCTTGTAAACTGGCAGCCGTTGCAGGATCTGCTTGCCTCTGTTTCTACAGGGAAAAGGGAGGTGCTCTTTGGGATGAGATGGAAATAAAATGCAGCACCCCTCCTAACCCCCACTCCAATACAAAAACTCAATGGCTTTCTTGGGCCAGCCCTGCTAATCATGGGAGAACCATTTAATTTTAGCCAGATTACAAGGCGTCTGCTTTTATTTGTTCTTGCCTGGATTTGTGCCAAGGACTCAACTTTTCCTGTTCATTTTATTAAAAAGTTTATAAACAGCATTAATAAATAGATATACAGCTGCTGTATAAATGACAGAGAGACCAAATTAAATTCACAAGGGTCAGCATTGAATAAGTAACAGAGCCACGTCCTTGCTCCATCAAATTCCCATATATGCAAATTAGATACAGAGCTTTACTACACTGTTTTAATTAATATTTATAAATCATAGAGTGCCTTGGAAAGGGCCAGTAACCTATTTATACTGCCATCATGTCACACAAATAACAAGCCCTCTGGGGACTGCTGTCTATTTTGCATTCGGTCAGAAAAGTAAGCACGTTGTTGTGTCTGTCTTCCCTTAGGTGTGGTATCAGCACAGCGACAGGTCACCGTCCAGGAAGGACCCTTGTACCGCACAGAGGGCTCCCACATCACCATCTGGTGCAACGTGAGTGGCTACCAGGGTCCCTCTGAGCAGAACTTCCAGTGGTCCATTTACCTGCCCTCTGCTCCCGAGCGTGAAGTACAGATCATTAGCACAGTGGACTCTTCCTTCCCTTACGCCATCTACACCCAACGAGTCCGCAGTGGGAAGATCTACGTGGAGAGAGTCCAGGGGAACTCGGCCTTACTTCACATCACAGACCTGCAAGCCCGGGATGCTGGGGAGTATGAGTGTCACACCCCCAACACTGACGAGCGCTACTTTGGGAGTTACAGTGCCAAGATGAACCTAGTGGGTAAGGAGACTCTGCTTCCACACGGCCAGTGTCAGGCCCAAGTCCCTTCTGTTGTCATGTGCTTTTACTGCATACTAATGTGATTCCCCAGGTATCTTAGAAAACCGCATGAGGGAGCATGAGTGAACATGAATCCTATGTACACTTGTGAACACTAGACAGCTAAGGCTGACACTTGGAAAGTTCTTGTGCAAACATCAAGAACCTCAGCGGTTAAGCAGACCTTTGCTGGTAAAAGGCAAAATGAGCTTATAAAGGCAAGATCCAGGTGTGGTAGCTTCATGCCTTATAATCCCAGCATCCCTGAGGCAGGGGATTGCCCTGTGGCAAGGACATTTGTGGGTGGTAATTTGGAGGTGTGGATTAGAAGGTAAAGTGGGTGAGACCATCAGGAAGAGAGGCAATGCCCCAAATATAAGCAAGGGCAAAACTCCCACCCCTCCAGAGGCCAGTGTGAGGCAACAGTAGACACACAGGGACAGGAGGGTTGTTGGCAGGAGTGCAGTAATGTGTGAGGGGAATCTCAGAAGAGATTCTGGTCAGTTAACCCAGTCAATTCCAGATGCTCAGAGTGGAGAGAGAATGAGAAGAGGATGGGACCATTTTGAGGTGTCACAGGTGATTTTAGTGAACCACACGGGTGGTATGTCAGACAGTGGTAATGGTTCTTTTGAGAACTGAGTGGGGCTCAGAGACAGACAGTAGCTTGTGACTGAAGCTGCCCATGTACAGTTGTGTTCTTTAATTTCCTTGCTGGTAGATAGGAATTTAATAAATGAAAGCTTCTTCAGCAGGCCTACTCTTTGCATAAACAGGCACTAGAATATTTTTGCTTGAAGCATCCATCACTATGCAAAGAGTCTTTCTTTAATGTGAAGTAATCAGCAAACAAGAGTCCCTATTTTGGGATGAAATTCCCTGGACTTCACACCTCAGAAATAGAGCAAAAAAAATAGAAGTTTTGGGGTACAGGGGGAGAGTAGAGCTCCAGGTACCCAGAGCTCCCTAGCTGCATGCAAGAAGCTGTGAACTGCCTATCTCCCATGATGCTCTCTGTATGATGGAGAAGATGAAGCTGGAAGAGTGGGAGGCATTTAGTGTGAACATCTCTGGTCACCTGCTGCCGAGGAGGAAGGACAGACTGCAGCCAGGGTCTTCCGGTTTATACCAAAGTCTGGATCTCTGCTTTTTATTTTCACAATTAAGCAGGGCATGCTGGTGGGTCTTTTGTCAGTAAGGATTGCTGCCTTTGTTTATTTTTTGAGTTTGTAATGAGCCTGCATCCTAGTAAGAGGATGTCAGACCTCAGTCTTGGGATGAGTCCGGCAGAAAAGCAAGCCCTTGTAGTGAGTGCCCTTCTCAGACAGCAGAGTGGGGTAGCAGCATTTAGTCTTCAGAGGGATAAAGGTCAGAATAGAACTGCAGAGGAAGGATACAGAGCAGTGTCTTCATTTGCCTGAGTCTTCTGTGTGCTGTGACTTCCTTCTGCTGTGGGCCACTGTGATGAATTATGCGAAAAGTACAGGGGGCAGGCCTAGGGATTCCCATCTGTAATCCAGCCACTTGGAAGGCTGAGGCTGGAAGATCACAAGATCAAGGCCTTCTTGGGCAAGGTAGTGAGAGCTGTCTCTGAATTAAAGAGATGGGGCTTGGGATTATCACTCAGTGGGTAGAGTACTTGCCTGCCACACATAAATTCTTAGGTTCTAGCCCCAGTACAAGGAGAGTATAAGGATTGATAATGGTATTCTCTATTCCTGCTTCCCAGTATTTTTTTAAATAGCCTTCTAGGGACAGTGCATTGAGGAGGAAAACTGGGAGGTGGGATGGAGAGTCTGTCAAGGGGAAGGGAAAAGGGAAGGGCTGTATAGATACGTCAAGCCAGAAGGCCTAGAGCAATTCCTGAGTCAGAAGTGAGGTTGAGCTATCTCAAAGCAATACAAACCCAGCAAGGAATCTTATTAGATGTCAACAGTTATTCTTACACAGACTTCTCAGGGTGCTCCTCTCAGACATTTTCAAAATAAAATCCATCTTTGCGCTGAGTGTCATTAAAATACCAAGCAGGTGTCTGTGCCGAAAATATTATCTCAGCTACCACAACAGAAGAGTGTATTTAGGTTTGTATGCCTTTTGGGGTTGTGTGTGGCCCTGAATCAGTTGTCAGAGGCTATCCCTGTTGTGGTGTTAGCAGTGGTTTCTGTGTGGAGTGGGTCTCAGATTCTGTAGCATTGTAACCTTCCTCCATGGGAACATTCTATGTTACAGTGATCCCAGATTCTCTGCAGACCACAGCTGTCCCCCAGACTCTGCACAAAGTGGAACAGGACCCTCTGGAGCTCAGCTGCGAAGTGGCCACTGAGACTGTCCAGCACACCCACCTCTCGGTATCCTGGCTGCGACAGAGGGGTGGCGAGAACCCTGTGGAGGTCATTTCCCTGAGCCGAGACTTCATCCTGCACTCCAGCAGTGAATATGCCCAGAGGCAGAGCCTGGGCGAGGTGCGGCTGGACAAGCTGGGGAGAAGCACCTTTCGCCTCACCATCTTCCACCTGCAGCCTTCCGACCAGGGCGAGTTCTACTGCGAGGCTGCGGAGTGGATCCAGGATCCAGATGGCTCTTGGTACGCCATGACCAGGAAGCGCTCTGAGGGTGCCGTGGTCAACGTCCAGCCCACTGGTTAGTGTCTCTCAGCTTCCTGTCTTTTACCTGGTGGGGAGTCAGATACTAGGAGGTCATGTGGACACCTTGTTTGATGACTATAACAATATGGTAGGTTTTGAATGAGGTTAGAGGTGGTTGTAACTTAGGCTGAAGAAAACGGATACACAGACCCAGCTTCCAGTGAGCTGCAGACAGCTGCCCATACTGGCCTCTGATTGTTGTCATGTTTGCTTTATTAGATGGTGTCATATTTTATTTTGAATAAGACATTTTTTGGAAGATAATTTTGTAATTACATTTATGTATATAAAACTTAGTGTACATTTTTTAACCCAGTTTAGTGGTGAGTTCTTTAACCTTTGCCTTTTCCAGCTTGGCAATGTGAGCCACAGACTTAGGACCCAGGACGTTGCCTCCCCAGTGGCGGTGGAACTCATCATATCTGTCATTATAATTGGTCCTAATAGCTTCCACCAGGTTAACCAGAGCACCCTTGTCTTCCTAGTTAACCTGTGTGAAGACAACAGTGGTGCATGTCTTCCTGTGGACCAGGTGACCCATCCTGGCCTTTCCCTTGATGATGCAGTAGGGCACCCCCATCTTTCTGCACAGGGCAGGCAGGAAAACCACCAGTCAATGGGGTCTACATCATGGGCAGTGACCACCAGCTGAGCCTTCTTGTTCTCCACCAAGGTAGTGACTGTATTGACTCCTGCTCAGAGGACAGGTGGTCTCTTAGTTGGAATGTCCCCTTTGCCAGCAGCTTTCTTCTCAGCACGGGCCAGTAGTCTCTGTTTCTTCTCTTGCTTTGTCTCTGGCCTGTACTTGTGGGCAGGCTTGAGCAGCTGAGTAGCTGTTTGCCTGTCCAGGGCCTGGATGGACTGGTTAATGGCAGGAGGTACTCTGAGCCTCTTATAAAGGATGGCTCTTTGCCGCTGCAGCCTGATGTAGCGGGGCCATTTGACGAACCATGTTAGATCTTTTTTGGCCTGAATGTCCTGCCCAATGCCAAAGTTCTTGGACTTTTTCTCAAACAAAGGATTGACCACCTTTTTGACCTCCTGTTTCTTGATGACAGCGGGGACCAGGGCCACCTTCTTCCCCTTGGCCTTCTTTCCTTTGAGCATCTTGCTTGGCTGGAGGAGAGAGCAAATAAGGCATTTTTTAATGAGAAATTTTTGCAGAAAAATTAGGCTGCAGAGATAGCTTAGTGGTCAAAAGCATTTGTTACTTTTGCAGAGGACCCAAGTTCAAGTCCTACCTCCCACAAGGTGGTTGACTACTATTCCTGACTTCAGTACCAGGGTCTCTTGCCCTCTTTTGTTCTCCAAGCACACATGTGATACACACATGCAGGCAAAACACACATAAAATAAAGTGAGTATATTTTTTAAAAAATTTTTTTCAGGGTCTGGAGAGATGGCTCAGTGGTTAAGAGCACTGACAGAGGTCCTGAGTTCAATTCCCAGCAACCACATGGTGGCTCACAGCTATCTGTAATGAGATCTGATGCCCTCTTCTAGTGAGTCTGAAGAGAGCTGCAGTGTGCTCATGTAAATAAAAAAAATAAACAAATCTTTAAAAATATTTTAAAGTGAGTGATTTCACAGGTAATCTTATGACCCTGGGTTCTTATTCCTATTAGCCATGGATGCCACCCAGTTTGATGATGTTTCAATTACAGAGGACGTTTGAGATAATAAACCTTTTCTCTTGGATGCATGAAACAGTGAGCTAAGGAGATGTTAGTATACCATTATTTTTATATTAATATTTCTGCCATTTTTAAACAAGACTTCTAAAATGCTTTAACATATATTGTCATGTCTATGAGGCGAGTCACCATGGCGTCCTCACATTGTGGGGGGAGCAGGCTGAATGCAGGGTGCCCTGTGGTGTGACCTCAGAGTATGTGCCATGAGTGTGGAGTATGCAGTCCTGCTGTGGACACTTTATCAAGGGAAGACCTGGGTGTGTCTCCTGAGGGGGGAAGGATAGTGTGCTTAGAGCTGAGATAGCGGTGGTTGTTACAGACAGTGTTAATCCCAATCCAGGGTTTCTACCCTGCCTTGATCATTTAGTTTGGAGGCCTAGCACACTGCAGTCCCCACAGCTTCTCTTGGTGTCTCCTGTGACTCTATGTCTTTCCCTGGTTCTTGTGCCTACAAATCTCCAGTTTTGAGCTGACTGCAGTTGTTGATACATTGGCTGAGCTGGGCCAGGTTCTCAGGCTAAGCTGTGGGTCTGGCTTTAGTTGGAGGGTAGTCATAATATGGTTACTGAGATGGCTGCTGGATGACATTTTCTCTTCTCTCTGATGAGAGAAGCTTTTATGTTACAGGTGGTAGTTCTGTCAGAATCTGTCTCTTGTCCTCCTTGTCCTTGTCCTTGTCCTTGTTGCCTTGGATTGTACATGGTACTCTGACATTTGAGACAATGTTTCAGATTCACCAAATAGTAAACTTTCTGACACACCCCTGAAGTCCCTGTTCAGAGATTCCTAGGGCAGGGCTGGGAAGCTGTGTCTGAAGTATTCCCAGGTCTTTCTTCAACTGTCTACATTTTGTCTAGCACAGGTCTGGAGGGGGCAGGGCTTATAGGATCCTCTGGACCCCTAATGGATGTGAGTGCAAAAGAAGGTTGGATTCTTGGTGAGAGGGCACACTTGATCCACACTTAGGACTCGGAGCTCTTACTGGCTTCTGAATCTTCTAATATTAAGAAATTTACCCAAGAGGCTTTAGTTCCTGTTTATCGTTTTCCTTTCTGGTTGGTTTTAAGATCAATGTCAAAAAAGTCTGGGTCTAATTTCCAGTCTTAATGCCTTTAAATTAGGTTGCATCAGCTAATCTTCCTTATTTTAATCTTACCAATTTGGAATTAGGACATTTGAATTTGCCCTGTAAATGTATCCAGACCAAGCCAAGAAAGGAAAATTTTAATGGAAAAAAAAAATGTTGGTAACTTCACTGTGTGTTCCAGTTCAGACTGAGGAGTTGCAACTCCTCCTTCGAGTCTGTTTCTTCATGTTTATTTTAATAGACATTAGTCTTTACAGCACTGAAGGTGTCGTGTGAGGTATTCGGGGATGCCAAGATGCATGACATCGCTCTGTGCACTTAAGGTGCTAAGTGCTGTGTGAATACTGAAGGCTGGTTTTGCTCTATGTTTTCTCTGGATAAGATGACTATTACAGCAGATCTAGGAATTCTAGTTCCTCAGATGATTTGATCGTGTCAAGGTTGAGCAGACAGCTGCAGGAAGTGGGGAAGGGCATGGGCCATTCAGCAGCTGGCAGGCAGAAGAAAGTCATGTGACTGGATGATGAGCTCTAGGTTGAGCAGTAGAGAAAGAAGGGCACTTGCAGCTGTGAGCTGTGGGGTAGAACATGGGCTGGACTCTGTGGACCAGGAGTTGTCAAGCCAGTCTTCTTGGAGGTTTAGGAGGTCTGTGGGGTTGTGCCTGAGAGGTGCACGTGGGTGAGTGCACTTGCTCACATGCATGTGAGGACCAGTGGGAAGAGGGCAAGAACCTGTGTGCTCTTCTCTTGCTTCAGCCAGATATTTGCCCTATTGAGCAGTGAAAGTTTTACATGAAGTAAAGGAGGCCCCCTCTCCTTACACCTCCTGATGAACTTTCAATATGCACACTGTGGGGAATAGAGATTTTTAGTCAGGGATTAACCACTTGGTTGGGTAATTTAGGAGGAAGAGCTCAGAGATGTGGAGGAAGGGGACATGTGGAAGTCGGTAAGACAGGTTGGGTGTGAAGTCAAGAGACAGGATTATGAAGAACTCATTTGGCCAAGCTGTGGTGGTGACCCAAGGTGATGGAGGAAGCCAGCTGTTTGGAAGTCATCTGTGATTCCCTGACCCCTTGCTGAGAGGGCTTTGATCTGTCAGGAAGTTTGGGTAATATAGGGAGGAGCTAGTCACTGGCAAGAAAAGATGTCTGGCTCAAGAGACTGGCCTGTGAGGGATAGAGGAGATAAAGAAAAGACACGTAGAAGTTGAACTGGATTGGAGTGGAGAAGTGTGTAATTGGCTCACATGATCCATTTCCACAGGACAAGAGTACTTTCACGTGCTTGAAGTGTGGGAGGGATGGGTTGGGGATGGCAGAGGCATGAATCAAAAGGTGATAGTGATAGTCTTGAAATGCCACTGAGGGAGGGCTGTTGTGGTTGAGGCTGATGAATCTCTAGAAAAGTTCACACACCACTGTGATGTGATTTTCCTCTCCATATTCTCTACAAGAAACATAGTTAGAAGTGGAAGGAGTTAGGAGCTGGAGCCTCCTACAGTAAGGAGAGATGAGGCCAGTCTCTTCCTCCCAGTCTTAATTCCTCTTCCTGTCCCTCATTTCCACTGTGAGTGCCTCTTGACAGAGCCCTGTTGGTCTAAGTGTGAATGCTAAGCAAAAATAGACTGCCTAGATTTGTCTGGTATTCTGGTATTTAATGAGTTTGCTCGGCCTCAGATATCCTTGGCTAGAGTTGGATTTTTTCTCAAGATGAATACTGAGTCTTCTCTGTAGTTAGTGTCATGAAGGTCAGGGGAATAGGATTTTCTGAAGCAGTTTGGTAGGCTGCAGCTCTTATTTACCCAGAATGCATCTGGTTTGTTTGTGTTCCCAGACAAAGAGTTCACCGTACGTCTGGAAACAGATAAGAGGCTGCACACGGTGGGTGAGCCGGTGGAGTTCAGATGTATCCTAGAGGCTCAGAACATTCCTGACCGGTACTTTGCCGTCTCCTGGGCCTTCAACAGCTCACTCATTGCCACCATGGGGCCTAATGCTGTGCCAGTCCTCAACAGTGAATTTGCCCACCGTGAAGCCAAGGGACAGCTTAAGGTGGCCAAAGAGAGTGACGGTGTCTTTGTGCTGAAGATATACCACCTTCGCCAGGAAGATAGTGGCAAATACAACTGCCGGGTGACTGAGCGAGAGAAGACTGTCACTGGAGAGTTCATCGACAAGGAAAGCAAGCGGCCCAAGAACATCCCCATCGTCGTGCTCCCTCTCAGTAAGTAGAAGCGCCTCTTACTGATTTCTGGTGCAGTGACTAGTGACATCATGGAGAAGTGGGAGAGAGAATGGGTATAGGGAAAAGGGACAGAATATGGGGTAAAGCTGACCAGAGAGGGGGCCTCTCCACCCCTCCAACCCCAGGTCTACAGAGCAGCAGGGGCATGTCTTGGGCTGGAGATGGTATCCACACACTTGAGTTCAAGCACCTTGGTGTAAAACACCAGCCTTGTCAGCTCAGTTAGAAGTAAGACCAGGAAGTCATTTTCACCTTTGGGGGAATTAAATCCCAGAAGTGGGCAGAGGCCTGCCTTGAAATCTTACTTAAGGAGAGCTCATCTCTTATGGGAGGATTTGGACATCATCAACTGTATTATTAAGAAGGCTTTGCCATCTGGGTTCTTCCAGGTATCAGTGTGGGCATTTCCCTAATTGTCTCTTCTGTACTGAAATTGCAGTGTTAAAAGTCAGTGGGCGTGCACAGCGTTAGGTTCATCCTAGCGGGCACATACAGCAGTCAGTGGGTGGGCGCTCTGTCTTCCTGGGATGTGCTTGGACAGCTTGGACCTCTCAAGGCTGTTCCAGGGACTCTGCCTCCGTGTACGCTGCAGTGTCTGGATGGGTGGTACCCTCCTTTGGGAACGCCAGAGATGAACAGTGTGTATGCATGCCGTGTTTAAATATCCATAGTGTCAAGATGCTCTTATTAATCTCCTTTCTCTCACAGTTCTGTTTTTAGCAGAAAGTTAATCAAAACTTACAATGCTCTGATTTTAAACAAGATGGTCCAGTTTAGGAACTAACCTTTAACCTTTTCTTAGCTCCCAGGACTGTTCCCCCTCTCAGCCTTCTCATGGTTTCTTTACATTTTTATTTACACATTTATGTATTTGAAATGTTTCTCTGCTGTACGAAGTCTAAAATGTTTTCTATCATGCTTATTATATTTTGAACGAACACACACACACACACACACACACACACACACACACACACGAGTAACCTTGAACTCTTTCTTGTGCTTTCCTCGCAATGCATGGTGCTTTGCATAGAGTAGGTGCTTGCTAAATATCTGTATAGTTGAAACTATCGGATTGAATGCCCACACTCCTTATACTATTTTCCCGTGCCTGCCGTAATCACAGACTCTGTACTTTGAAACTAATTCCTCATTGTTTTGTAAGGGATGGCATGAGGGGCAGCCACACTGTTTGCTTCCTGTATCTTTTGTACTAAAAGATTTCCCCCAGCCCTTCCGAGAACTTGTTTGATGATCTGTGGCCTGCTATATTGCTTTTCCAGCAGATAACTGGGTAGTTAAAGTCCCCCAGCAGCACCAGATCCTGCCCCAAGGCCACTTGGGTAAGTCTACTGAAGAACAACAATCAATGGTAATGGTGATAACACCCTGGATTTTAATGGCACCTTTCCTCCTAAGAACCAAAAGTGCTTCTGCATATATGATCTCTCTGCTCCCAATCCTGCAATCCTGTACACGCCAGTGTAACATCCATCTTGTGAATGGAGACGTCAGAGCACACGCAAGGAAGTGTCTGATCCGGTTTTTCAGTTTGTGGTTGAGCTTGCAATTGCATTAGGAACATTCGCTCTAACTCCAAACCCGCTGCTCTGCGCTTAGCCTGTACCCCGCCAGCAGCCTCCTGATTGGATTTCATTTGTGAACACACACTCAGATTTTCATTAGTTCTGTCCTAGTCTTCATTCAGTCTGGAGGATATTAACTTGTAAGCTACCTTTCTATAAGCCTGGGAACCTGTGTAAATAGTTACAGTGAGCTACACAGCACCAGATCTGTGTTGTCCATGCTTTGGCTTCCAGAGGGCTTCTCTTCTATCTAGGTTTTCCAGGCTTTCTCTAAATAACCATCTAGGATGTCCATAAGAGTCTGCTGGGGTGACAGGAGGGCACATGACTGATGCCTTGCAGGCCATTCTTCTGTATAAGACAGACAGAAAAGTTTTCTTCCTTGATGCTGAAATTGCCTTCTGTGTCTCTGACCCGGAGGTGAAAACAGTGAGGAAGAGTATTGAGTCTGAAGGGGAGCGCAGACCGGGCTCAGCGGGAGAGTGTCTGCAGAGCATTCTGGAAGCCTTCAGTTCCGCCCTCAGTGCTGCTCCGCCTTCGTCAGGTCCCCTCTGTGTCAGAACCCTAAGGAGGCACAAGCAGGATCTTAACTTTGCACATGATAAATTGAGGCCCGGCTAGTAAGAAAACCAAACTTCCGAAGTCAGGAGGCAGTACAGCCAAGCCCCAAACCATTTCTGCCATGGGCAATGGCTCTATAGAGCCTTGTTCTGGGAAGGCTGCCCTGAAGCTCACTGTTCACACCTTGTCCAGATCCCCTTCCTGTGAAACAAGCACAGCATACTCTCTTTGGCAAAGGCTAGGTGCTGAGGCCCTGTGCTCATCCTTCCTGTTTCTGCCTCTGGGGAAAATTAAGGGGGAGAAGAATAAAGTAGATCCAAATGCTGCAGTAATCGGGTACGCTTCTCTATCTGGGGTTTGACTTAATCAATTGTGAATGGTGCCTAGAAAATTGGATCCAAATTGATTATGACACTATGTATTGTGTTAATTCTTACGAGCTTGTTGAACTCAATATAGGTAATTATACAGAATAACATATGCATAATTAAGAAAGTGTTAGCCATGCTGTTTATGAAAGCAGAAATATCCCTAAGTATGGTAAAATCAATCATGACTGTGGGTACCACATTTTAAAAACATACTGTGTGCTGCACAATCTGTATGCATTGTCTCGTTTGCTGTTTAATCTTTTGTGGGTTAAAAATAGCATCCTACAGAAGAAAAAGCTGAGGCTTGTAGAGTTTAAATCATCCCCTCAACTGAGATCAGCTATCCGAAGGCGTGGCAAAGGCTAGACTGAGCTGGGGAGGGAGTGGAGGTCTTCTCCCACCTCTGCTTGGCAGACTGTCAGGGCAGAGAGCAGAGGTGCCCCAGGCTGAGCGGTCGGTCTCACAGGAGAGCAGTAGATGGTGAGCCACTGGCCATGGCTCAGTCTTATCTGTTAACGAAAGCATGAAGCTTTGCTCTCCTCCACGCACTCTGCGAGTCGAGACCATCTGTGCCCCATTTTCCACACATGCCATCTTCCAACTACTTCCTGACTTTTTTTCTACTTCCTAATATTTCCCTGAAGGTTTCAAATGGCACACTAAGGATGTGTATAGCTTTTGTTTGACTCTTGTAGCTTCAAGTGGTAGAAGATTGAGGTGCAGTTGGATTTGGGAGTTCCTCACGCTGAAACTCCAAGCTGGAAGCCCTGAGCTGCAGCTGAGCAGATCACCCATAAATAACATTGTGTCATAAACACCACGTCATTGTAGCATATTCCCCAGGTTCTGATTTACTTTTCGGTCTTAGTACCTCACTCTCCCAATCCACTGCACAAAGCAAAGGGCATTCTAGGCTAGCTCTAGGGAGCAGTGCCCAGTTCGAACCAGCCAACCCTTACAACAGCAAGTTGTGTTTCAAAACAAATCAGAGTGCTTTGAGTCCTTTGAGCTTCACTGTCAGAATCATGGGATTCGGTTTGGCACCCTTCTTCCTGCGTCATCCGTGAGGAGGGCGCACATGGAGACTGTAAACCCCCAGTGTGGCACTCTCTCTTCTCCCCAGAAAGCAGCATGTCCGTGGAGGTGGCCAGCAATGCCAGCGTCATCCTGGAGGGTGAGGACCTGCACTTCTCCTGTACTGTCCGCACAGTGGGCAGGTTGCAGGCCCGCTTCTCTGTCATCTGGCAGCTTGTGGATAGGCAGAATCGCCGCAGCAATGTCATGTGGCTGGACCGGGATGGCACCGTGCAGCCGGGCTCATCATACTGGGAGCGCAGCAGCTTCGGAGGCATCCAGATGGAGCAGGTGCAGCCCAACTCCTTCAGCCTGGGTATCTTCAACAGCAGAAAGGAAGATGAGGGCCAGTACGAGTGCCATGTGACGGAGTGGGTACGGGCTGTGGACGGGGAGTGGCAGATTGTGGGAGAGCGCCGTGCCAGTACCCTGGTCTCCATCACAGCCCTTGGTGAGTGAGCCATAGAACCATGGCAGATGCGTTCTTGTCAGACTCCTTTCTATCTTACCAGTGTTCTGGCTGGAGGATCTGGGGAGACGTCAGTGGCTTAAGTGCATACTGGGCGAGCATGAGGATCTGGACACGAGGGTCACAGGACCCAAGTAAGATGTTGAGTAGGCTCGGCATCATGCCTACAATTCCAGCCTCAGAGGCAGACATGGTGTCTTTAGAGCAAGCTAGCTATCAGGACTGGCCACACCAGTGAGCTCTGGGTTTGATTGAGAGACCCTGCTGAAGCAAATAAGGTAGAAGAATAACGGCTCCTGAGGATAATCTGGGGCCTATGCATGCATATAATATGCACATGCAAACATACAGATACAAACATGCCCATTTGCCCAACACACACACACACACACACACACACACACACACAGAGAGAGAGAGAGAGAGAGAGAGAGAGAGAGAGAGAGAGAGAGAGACACGGCAAAAAAGGCAAACACATTCTGATGGGAGATAATGGTATGAAGGGACTCTGTGGTAGTATGCGCAGGGTTCAGGGAACTAAGCAGACGGTGGGGCATGGGGTAGGGCTGTTACCACCCTTGGGTCGGGGGCGGGTGTGTCAAGATTCTAGACAGATTGGTGCCACCAACCAGCAGGAGCATGGCTGAGGCGAAATTGACCTGGAAGAGGGGACTGACTGGGAAGAGTGACAAGTCTCTCCTGTTCACAGGGTATCTTACCCAGCTGCTCACAGCCTCACCTCACCCCCCCAAAGTGTGGCTGAACAGGATGGAGATCTCATTGCCAATGATACAGCATTTGGCCCACGCCTGCCCCGAGTCTTAGCACTCAGCTTGGTTGTTCCGTTTAGGCCTGTTTTTATCTCCTTCTCCGTAAAGCCCCCACTTAAGAAAAACATTTCCTCATTTGCCAGGGAGTGAAGATACCTTGAGGTTTGCTAAAACCAAGTAATGTTAGATTTGCTTCTCACAGTCTATCCAAAGAGGTTTCCACTCCTGTTATCTGCCAGATGCAATCAGTCTATTACATTTTAAAAGACTGGCCTGCTACTTTGCTGGGAAGATAACTTATTATGTCAGGCCTTCTATTTGTCAGAAAGCTTTGTCAGTCTCCATTCACCCAGACTATGTCACCACCTTCCCTCAGGTAGGGCTGGTGGTGCTGTCACATACCTAATAAACATGGCAACCCCGGGTAGATCTGCCCAAGTCCTCATCCATGTTCTCCCTTCTGAGATTGGGATTGCATTTGCTTAATTCTGAACTGTCTGTTTTCAATTGCATGGTGATAAAAACATTATCCATGTGCCGTTTAACCCCTCCTCCCCCATGCTGGAGCTTCCCTCCGTGTGCTGTTTAACCACTCCCTCCCCCCATGCTGGGGCTTCCCTCTGGCTACTTCACAAAGGGGGAAGTCACATGCCACTGTTATAGGAATTCTTGAGGTTTTCAGGGTAACAAGGTGTCTCCCCAAGCAAGGCATGCAGTAAAAAAGAAAAACAAACATGCAAACAGTAAGAAAACAATAAGCAGCTCCAGAATGCTCCTGGCATTGTTATGGCACCCATTTGGTTAGACCGGCTTGCTGTCTAGGACTTGGGATGGACACAGCGTCATTTAAACCCAGACATAGCTTCTGTATCCTCCCCCACGTCATTGCGATGATATCTGCTTCCTGAAAGCTTTGTACCAAAGAAGGGCTTGCCTTCTGCAGTCATTAGGCAGCTTGGATTCTTGTTTCTAGAAACTCCCTCCAGTGTTGATCATAGTCCCTGTGCTTGGCACTGCTGTGAACCCAGGCAGGGGAGCTTGGGAGATGGCTCTGGGATCCGATGCATATGGTTTTTCCCCATCCTGGGAGGTTAGGGGTATCCAGGGAAGTGTGATTCGGGGTTGTTTCCCTGGAAGTAATTTTACGGTTTCAGGTTATCTGTCCTAGGAGTATTCTTAAATTCACCGCATGTCTGGCAGCTCCCACAGCCAGGCTGTGCTGAGTAGCACTCCCTGGGATCCTAAAGCCAGCTCTGCTCCCCTGTCCCCATCTCAATTGCCTCTGGAACTAGAAGCAGGGTTGTCTCACTAGTCCTAGCCTTTTGTCTAAAGTAAGCAGTGAACTCATGAATTTCTGGATTGCTTCTGTTAGGTATGGCTCCCCTCAGTGGTATGTGGATGAACTAATAGGCCACAGACCACTGTGATGGTGGCGAGATACCTTGGCTGAGTGCCCTCTGGTCTATGTCCACTTCCTATGTAAAGTCAGGAATATCCAGTGCAGGACCTATCCCTGCCGCCCCTCATCTGTACCCGTGGCATGTGTACCACACACTACTGGCCATCGTAGCCACACATCGTAGCTCCCTCTTCATTTTTAAAATTGAAGATCCAGAGAGTTCAGCAAAATTTGCCAGCTTATTCTCTAATAATTCTCCAGGGAAATCCAGAAGATTCTGTGCCTTGTGTTTTTCCTGTAGAGTTTAAAGTATTTTGTTCCCTTTGTTTCTTAAATAAACTACATATTTTCTAGACCATATATGATGTACCACACACTCATTTAACCTTCACAAGAAGCCTTTACAGAAAGGAAAACATAGGCAGAGTGGACGTAGAACATTTGCTTATTTAATACAGTGTTTTTCAACCTGTGAATCACGACTCCCACAGGGGTCACATATCAGATATCCTGGGTGTCAGATAGTTACATTGTGTTTTATAACAGTAGCAAAATTACAGTTATGAAGTAGCAACAAAATAATTTTATGGTTGGGAACACCACAACATGAGGAACTGTATTAAGGGGTTGCCACATTAAGAAGGTTGAGAACCACTGGCTTAGTGTCACAGAGCGAGAAGGTGTCTTGAGAAGAAGGTGACAGCTGTGGAGTTGATGCCTTTAACCAGACTGATGGTTCCCCTGGGAAAAGCAGCCCCAGGCGGGTCCTAGAGTAGGGTGCACATAGATAGGTCTGAAGCCTGACTCTACCATTTGCTATACTTAATACCAGGCAGTTTACCTGTCTTCTCTGTACCCTGCAAAAGGGATAACAAGCCTCCTGACCTACAAGCGTTGATTTGGTAAGAGGGGATGAAAGCGGAGCCTCTAACACTAGGTTTGACATGTAGCATTCGTATGTACTGGCCACCATTACTTTTATGATCATAGCCAATGTGCTCATCCACACTGAAGGAGCTATGAACAGAGGTCAGGATGCTTCCCAGCCTGGAAGGAATATTCTCACTGAGACTTCAGGGCTTTGAATTTAGGGGTAATGCCACACCCCACCTCAGGTATCCATCCACTAAAGACTAGACTTCCCTGCTGTATGTACCTTAAAACCTATCTGAACCTAAATTTCATTGGGGAATTAGAGGAGAGGCTGACAGCGTTCCTCACCTGCCTATTTCAGGATGCCATGCCCTAGAAGACCAGGGACAGGTATTTGAGTGTTGGGTACATGCAGTGAAGGTAATTGACTTTGAAACTTTCTCTCTCTCTCTCTCTCTCTCTCTCTCTCTCTCTCTCTCTCTCTCTCTCTTTCTCTCTCTCTCTCTTTTGCACAGAATTCTGAGATTGTTAGGAAAGATTCTGGCTATGTGGTATGAGTCATTGAGAGAGAGGGTTCTGGTGTCTTACCCTATCTCAGGTCACACTGGGAAGGGGTGGGGCTGGGTTATTCAGAGGGACAGCCTGGACCCAGTTTGTGTGAAGTCTTAGGAACTGTTGAGTTGGGCCCCAACACACTATCCAAAGTAATAGCTTATTTGTGACAAGCAGGCTTAAGAACTTGCCAACCTCTGACTGCTGGGTTTGCCAGTAGACCCATATTTGATAGCACACTGCCCCGGAAAAGCCAGATGCGGTCTCTGGTTCATGTCTCTGCTCTCCCTACAGAAACGGGCTTTGCGGTCACAGCTATCTCCCGGACACCAGGGGTTACCTACAGTGACTCCTTTGACTTGCAGTGCATCATCAAACCCCACTACCCAGCCAGAGTCCCCGTGTCTGTAACATGGAGGTTCCAGCCAGTGGGCACAGTGGAGTTCCATGACCTGGTGACCTTCACACGGGACGGAGGGGTTCAGTGGGGGGACAGGTCATCTACCTTCCGAACTCGGACAGCCATTGAGAAGGCCGAGTCCAGCAACAATGTCCGCCTGAGCATCAGCCGGGCCAGTGACACGGAGGCAGGCAAGTACCAGTGTGTGGCGGAGCTGTGGCGGAGGAACTACAACAATACCTGGACACGGCTGGCGGAGAGGACCTCCAACCTGCTGGAGATCCGGGTGCTGCAGCCAGGTGGGTGCTCAGACTCCAGGGCCTCTCTACTGTAGGGCCCATGTGTGTCTGCACAGCGCGGTGAGACACACGGGTGTGTGCTTATGTGATATGGTAGGCCTGTGAGCATGCATGCTTATGTAATGGGAGACAGGGTGTGTTCTTAAATGACACAGAGAGAGACACAAAGATGTCTGCTTATGTGATCTAATCAGACCCAGGGATGCGTGTTCATATGACACAGTGAAGCATACAAGGACACATGCTTATGTGATATGAGACATGAAGATGTGTGTCCATGTGACACGAGATACAAGTGCTTGTTCTTACTGACACAGTATAATATGAGGGCATGTTCTTCCGTGTCTGCTTATGGAGCGTGGTAAGACATGAAGGGTATATGCTTGCATGACTGGAAGATGTAAGGAGAGAAAGAAAAATAGATTCTGAGCCCTGACCCAGCCACTGTTTCCCAACTCAGAGAAATTCAAATCCCCTGCAACCCCTTTGCTTGGTAGACAGTTCATGTCTTACTGCCTGTGTTTTCTCCCTGCTTGGATATTCTCCTATCCTTATTTTGCATTCCAGAGTAGATGGAGGACACTAGGCGGGGGACATTCATAAACACTCTAGCATATGACCCCCTAAGAACAGGACACTGTCCTACCCAACCACAACACTGTTGTCACGCCTGGAAATTCAGCATCTACCGATAGTCTCATTACCCACAATCCCTCATTTGTCCTAGCAGTTTTCGACTCCAGTGTGCACCCCCACACACCATCAGCAACTCCAAGGAAAGACTTCAGTTAGAGATCACACAGCACTTTGAGTTGTACCGTCCCTTTATACCCTTTTAATCTAGAACAGTCCCTAGCCGCCCCCCTGTGTGTGTGTGTGTGTGTGTGTGCGTATGTGTGTGTGTGTGTATGTGTGGTGTGTGTGTGAACACATTGATATGAAAACATGAGTGGGCCACTCCAACCTTTAAACCGTCTCTTAATCCTGGCAGTAACGAGGTTTCCTTGTTTAGATAAAGGAACTCAGAGAAGGAAGGACAAACAGTGCTGTTTGTTGAAGCTTCTTTGGCCCCCATGGGCAAGATCAGCCATTTGATTAGAATTCACATTCCCTGGAAGAATTAAAGGATAGCCTTAGGTCATGAGGCTGGTCTTTGGAGGATCCATGGGGTCAGTCTTTTCTTTCCTCAGATCCTATCATACGGGCTGAGTTTGAATTCCTTTCTCCTGTGGAAGCCCAGTGGCCAAGAAGGTGCTAATTTGGGGAATCGTCTGCAGCAGACGTTCCTTCAGACACCTTCATCAGGGTTTTCTACTGGCTTGAGGAGTAACTTGGATTTTTCTGTCTGTCCTAGTGGCTGGCTATGTTGGAAGCTGATGGAGCAGAGAGCCCAGCCTTGGGTCCTGCACCCCTTTGGTTGCTCAGGCCATGCCCAGTATAGAAAAAGCACCTACACAGCCAGTGGTGGTGATTAAACCTTACAGGGAATGTTTTTGTTTTGTTTTTGTTCTTGTTTCTGACCCATCCACTTTGCAAAGATGCTTTGAGCACCCTTCTCCCGTACTAACTGCTATGATTAGTGCCCAGCCTGGTCACTTCTGAGGGCCACAGACAGGGAAGTTTCCAGCAGTGTCTGAGTTCATCCTTCCCTTTGGCTGACCTTGTCACAGAGGCCTCTTCTGTACCACATTTGGAACAAATGGGATTTATAAATGTTGAGACTCTTATCTGGCCAATTAGAGCTGAATTGGGCCAACAGGATACTGGAGAAGAGGCTGTTCTTAAGTGGGTGTTCGGGTTAATGGGGGGTTAAGCGGAGACCCCAGTTGATGTCAGCACTTGGGGACGATGCGGCTCCTGCTGGCTGCCTTATGGAGTCGATCCTCAGGATGGTAACTGTGCATTTCTATTGTCTTGTCTGTCACTGAAGGTTCTGAGCAGCAGTACCTGTCACATGGTTTTACAGCTGGAAAAGGTAGCAGAGACCGTGACCCCTAGACCTTGCTTGTCATTGCCCTGCTGAGTAAGCTCCTACTGCTTGCTTGTTTCTGTTACTACTTGGAATCTAAGATTGAAGCCCTGAAGCACAGCTAGTTCATTAAGGTGCTCCTTGTTTGGATTCTGATTCAGATTTATGATGACACTTTTGGGCACTGTGAGCCTTGACAAAGGTTAGTTAAGTGGCAGAGCCCAGCCCGAGGTTAGAGCCCAGATTCCTTTGATTCCACCTCTGCCCTTGCCCTCATCTAATTGGCTTTCATACTGCAGAGTTAGGACCATCTTCCTGTCTCATGCTCATGGGATGAAGGGGTCTGGGGAGAGGCAGGTCCCACTTTGCAAACTTGGACTGCCATTGAGAAGGCTGAATCCAGCAAAACAGCATCTGCCTGAGCGTACCCTGGCTCTGAGACTATTTGGGGTTTCACTGGGAAGTGAGTGCAAGTAGTGGTTAGCACTGGGGACTTTTGAGCATCTGCCACTGTCTTCAGGAGGCTGCTGGGCCTGCTTGCAAATGATCATCACACCGGAGCTTGTTGGTTGTTGACTGTCTCTCACTGAAGGAGGGGAGGGATCAGGAAGGGTCCTGACCCCCTTACCTGAGTATCCCGACACCCCCCCCCCCCAACTAGTTGTATTGCAGTTGTGCATTAATTATAAGTGGTCCATGGACAGGGTAGAGTATATGTGGCCAAAAGACTTAGGAGAGTGGACTCCATTTACACAGCTGTGGTAAACCCACCATCCCTGCTAGCAGCATATCTTCCCGTGTGGCTGCTCTAAAGTCATGCTCCTGCTATTGACCCCTTGCTGATTGTTCTGTCAGTAAGCTGAATAAATTCATTGGTTCTCCCAGGCAAACTTCGGTAGAACTGAATTATGGTTTGTTATTGGGACCTTAAGGAAGTGAGATGTTACATTGTACTTCCTATGGGAAGAGTCCTGGCAGTAGCCGCAACACAGCCTGCTCTTATAGATGGCCAGTAACACATGACCTGGCCCCTTAGAAACTGGGAAGAGCAAAGTAAAAGCTGTATGACTCCCAGCACGGCTGAGGTACGAGGGAGAGCACACTCCCTAAGTGTTACTGTCTTGTACTAATTATTTATGCACTGATAACTGAATATTTTCCAAAAAGCTTTCTCTAAAATGCACGGGCTAGTATAGGTGTTTTTGTCTGGGGGAAGAGAGACTGAGTGCTGGAGGCAGTATGGGTTCTTGGCCTGTGTTATTTCCCTGGGTCTTTGCAGTAACCCCAAGTAGAAGAAGGAATGTAGCTTCCATCTGTGAATAGTCAAACAGTGCCCCCCAACTCTACCCCCCTCAGCACTGAGTGGGACACTAGAATTCGAACCCAGGCATGCTTTAAGGAAAAGTGCTGGTAGTGGAGAGACTTTGCCCATTTTTTTTTTTTTGAAACCATGTAATCTCATCTGATTCCTTCTGCATTCGACCCATGACATCCTTTATGGAACATATTTTTCCTTGCAGATCTCTGGTGTGCCAGAACCTTGGCTGTGGTCAGATTTAAAATAACGGTAGCAATGGGTGACTGTCTGCATTGTGAACGCCCTACTTCTGATAACTTGATTCTTCCTTAATCCATGCAAGGTCAATGGGTGTGTGGGTGCCTGACACAGCTTACAGATGAGGGCTCTGCCACCCAGGGTGAATAAGTCGTCTGGTGATTCATGATGAGTGGCAGAGCCAAGATTCAAGTCTAAACAGGCAGTCTGGCCCCAGAGCTAAATTTTTAATTTTATTATATGCTTTGTAGACAATAAGCCAAAGTTTTACTGACTTGTGCTTTCTTCTCCCCCTGGCAACCTATGGTACAGTGTGTGTGTGTGTGTGTGTGTGTGTGTGTGTGTGTGTGTGTGTGTG